TGTTATGTCTTGTTGGTGTATGGTTCCTTTAAGCAGTATGTAGTGTCCCTCTTTATCCCTTTTGATTAACTTTGGCTTGAAATCTATTTTATTTGATATGAGTATGGACACTCCTGCTTGTTTCCGAAGTCCATATGAGTGATATGATTTTTCCCAACCTTTCACCTTCAGCCTATGTATGTCTTTTCCTATCAAATGCGTCTCCTGTAGGCAGCATATTGTTGGGTCTTGTTTTGTGATCCATTCTACTAACCTGTGTCTCTTAATTGGTGAGTTTAAGCCATTAACATTTAGGGTTATTATTGAGATATGGGTTGTTCTTCCAGCCATATTTGTTTATTTCTGTTATTAAACATGGTTTGTTTTCCTCTTTGATTATTTTCCCCCCCTTTACTGTCCTACCTCCCACTGTTGGTTTTCATTGTTATTTTCCATTTCCTCTTCCTGTAATGTTTTGCTGAGGATGTTTTGAAGAGATGGTTTTCTAGCTGCGAATTCTTTTAACTTTTGTTTATCGTGGAAGGTTTTAAGTTCATCTTCCATCCTGAAGCTTAATTTCGCTGGATACACAATTCTTGGTTGGAACCCATTTTCTTTCAGTGTTTGAAATATGTTATTCCAGGATCTTCTAGCTTTCAGAGTCTGTGTTGAAAGATCAGCTGTTATCCTGATTGGCTTACCCCTAAATATAATCTGCTTCCTTTCTCTTGTAGCTTTTAAAATTCTCTCCTTATTCTGTATGTTGGGCATCTTCATGTGGATCTCTTATGATTTTGCACATTTGGCGTCCTGTAGGCTTCTAGGATTTGGGATTCTGTCTCATTCTTCAAGTCTGGGAAGTTTTCTTGTATTATTTCATTGAATAGACTGCTCATTCCTTTGGTTTGGAGCTCTGTACCTTCCTGTATCCCAATGACTCTTAAGTTTGGTCTCTTAATGTTATCCCATATTTCTTGGATGTTCTGCTCATGGTTTCTTAACAGTCTTGCTGAGCTGTCTATGTTCTTTTCCAGTTGAAATACTTTGTCTTCATTGTCTGATGTTCTATCTTCTAAGTGTTCTACTCTGCTGGTAGTATTCTCCATTGAGTTTTTAAGTTGGTTTATTGCTTCCTGCATTTCTAGGATTTCTGTTTGTTTGTTTTTTATCACCTCTATCTCCCTGTATAGTTGATCCTTTTCTTCCTGGATTTGTTTGCGTAATTCATTGTCGAAGTGATCTTTCATTGTCTGATTTTGCTGTCTAATGTCTTCCTTGATACTCCAGATCATCTGAAGCATGTATATCCTGAATTCTTTATCTGACATTCCATCTGCTGCAGCTGTTACCTCTTCTAAAGTTGCGTTGACCTGCATTGCTTGTGGTCCTTTCTTTCCTTGTCTTTTCATACTGCTTGCGTATCTTTCCTGCAGGCGCGGGCGGCGGCTCTGCTCTCTCCTTATTCCAATTGGGGTGTCATGGCTACCACGCCGGCAGGTCACTGGGCCTATTCTGGGCGCTGGCGGCGGCTCTGTTCTGCCCCTACTCCAAATGGGGTGACATGTCTGTCGTACCGGCAGGCCACTGGGCCTGTCCCTCTGGTCGGTCGCAGATCTGCCCACCTTTCGGGCACGGGTGGCGGCTCTGCTCTGCTCCTACTCCAATTGGGGTGTCATGACTACCCTGCCTGCAGGTCGCTGGGCCTGTTCCTGGCACGGGCGGCGACTCTGCTCTGCCCCTACTCCAATTAGGGTGGTGTGTGTACCACGCTGGCAGGTTCCTGGGCCTGATCCGCCTGTCTGTCACAGGTCTGCCTACCTTGGAGGCGCGGGCGGCGGATCTGCCCTGCCCCTCCTACCACGCCTGCAGACCCCTGGGCCTGATCTGCAGGTTGGTCACAGGTCTGCTCACCCTGCGGGCACGGGTGGCGGTTCCGCTCCGCCCCCACTCCAATTGGGGTTACGTGGCCACCACACCGGCAGGGCCTGATCCGGGCGTGGGAGAAGGATCTGCTCTGCCCCTACTCCAGTTGGGGTGACGTGTGTACCACACTGGCAGGCCACTGGGCCTGACCCGCCAGTCTGTGACAGGTCTGTTTACCTTGCAAGCGCGGGCGGTGGCTCTGCCCTGCCCCTCCTACCACGCCCATGTACCACTGGGTCGCGGGTCTGCCCACCTTGCGGGTGCGGGTGGCGGCTCCACTCCGCCCCTCTCCAATTGGGGTCATGCGGTCACCACGCTGGCGAGCCGCTGGGCCTGCTCCGGGCGCTGGCGGCGGCCCGGCTCCTCCCGTCTGGATCGACGACAAATTGAGGAGACTCGGGTGTCTGTGCCTCACCCCCCCTACCAGGAGACCAACTGTTTCTGTTGTCGCTGGTATTGATGAAGTTCTCTCCTCCGCCGCTTTCTGATGACATCAGATCTCTGCCATGTTGGTATCCTATGCGAATGGCAGCATTTCGTTCTCCTTGCCGGGCAACCAAAGCAACGGGTGAGTCCTGACCGGCCCTCAGCAGGACCCGGACCGAGAAGCAGTTTCCGTGGGCTCCTAGCCCTGGGCCAGGGCAGTTCCGGGAGCCGGAACTCGGCCGCTCCGTGCTCCGTGTAAGCTCCGATAAGAGTAGGCTCCAAGAAGCAGTCCCCGCAGGCTCAGTTCCGGGAGCCGGAATTCGGCCGCTTAGTGCTTGGTGTATGCTCTGATAGGAGCAGGGTCCAAGAAGCAGCCTCCGCAGGTTCCCCAGCCCTGGGCCAGGGCAGTTCCGGGAGCCGGAACACGGCCGGCCACCCCACGCTCGGTGTTTGCTCCGATAAGATCAGGTTCTAAGAAGCCCCCAGGCACTGAACCCTAGCAATCTGTCTGCAAGCCGCAGGCGAATGGCAGCCTGAAATTACCTGTTCTATGGCTGAATGAGCTGCGGTCAGTCGAAAACAGGGATGGTGACGTCAGCTTTCCAACATGGTGGCTGCTGGCCTCCTCTGTGGTCTGACCGGTGTGGAGAACTGAGATGGACCGCTTCCTTCCCCCGTCTCGAACCCAGAATTCAGCCCTGAGTACGGTGCTTGCACGGCTGGCAGAAACTGCAGCGCTGTATCCCTGCGTTGCTATCTCCTCGTTTCCCAGCGCACGCTGCAGACTCTAGCCGCGGGGCGATTTGCTGAATAAGCAGTGTTACCCTCCGTGCGACAAACCTCTCGCGTTTGAGTCCCCGTAGCCGATCCTCGTGTGATGGAAATCCTTCCTCCAGGTTCCAGAGCACCCTACTATTGCTGGAAATTCCTAACAAGATAGCCTTTAGCCGTCCTGACTTGTCATACTCCCACGCAGTGAAGCAGCACCCAGGGGCAATGCACTCCCCTCGCCGCCATCTTCCTCTCTCAAGGCCAGGAAACTTTTAAAGAAGGAAGATTCCATCCATTTTAAGGACTCTACTCATGTGACCTTGCATAAATCTCTGGTATTTGAGATTGAATTAGAAAGAGAAGGGAGAATTTTTTCATATGGACAGTATATTAGCCCATCTTATGTCGACAGAATACCTGATGCAAGCTACTTTACTTTTAAAAAATGGTTTATTTGATTCAGAATTCTATGGCTGGAGGGTTCAGACAGCATGGCATTGGAATACTTGTGGAAACCCTCTTCTTGTGCCACAATATGGTGGAGAAATAGAAAGGGGACTGGCTGCCTACAGGACAGAGGGAGCATGTGGGCAGCATGACTTTCTAACAACCCATTCTCATGGAACTAGTTCACTCCAGGAGACCAATATGGATCCCTTCTGAGGGCAGGCTCCCAGTGACCAGAGCTACCTCCCCTGGACTCCACCTCTTAAAGGCCCCACCACTTCAACACTGTAATACTGAGGACAAAGCTTTTAGTCCATGAACCTTAGAGGGACAGACTATACCCAGACCGCAGCAGGCAGGGAAAGGGAGGAAGAGCACAGAGATGATAAACTGCAGGAGTGCTTGTAGAGTAGATCCAGTTTTAACTGGGAAATATAATAGCGACTGAGAAATAGGGAGAACAAAATTCTTGAACAAATATGTGGAGGTCATGTTATGTGAGAACTTGAATGCTAAGGAAAGGAGTTACTTGCTTAATCCATTAGGCTACCCAGAGTCTTTGGACTTTTTGAGCTAGAAAGTAATATGGTCAGAGTTACATTTTAAGGTAGTTGATTTGTGGTAAAAGGTGTGATGGGTTAGAGAACAGAGAAACCTGTCATGGTAGGACTGTTAGAGGCTTTTTTGTAGTCTGGGTTAGAGGCAAGGAAGTTGGACTCAGAAGAGCTTGGGGGCTGGAGCTGCATGCCTGCAGATGGGGCATGTGGATTTTATTGGAACTTCTGACTCACTTGTTGAAAGGGGTAAGAGAGGACTTGCTGTGTATTACGGTTTTGAGCAAAAGAAGTTTGTCCATTGGTGTTTTGGTTGTGAGGAAGAGAGAAGCATATGAGGTCCTATATGGAAGAGACTAACAATTAGAACTGAAGCCACAAAGAGCTAGGGACAAAGAGCTACATCAGCAAATCTCTTTTTTCCTTCATTTCTTTCCCTTCTTCCTTTTTTTCTCCTTCCTGACTTCTCTGCTTTTCTTTTTTTTTAAAAAAAATATTTTTAAAATATTTTCAAATATATTGTTGATGGACCTTTATTTTATTTATTTGTATATGGGGCCAAAAATTGAACCCAGTGCCTCATGCATGCCAGGCAAGCATGCTACCACTGAGCCACCACCCTAGCCCCTCTCTGCTTTTCTTAATATTTTTCTCTACTCTTCAGTTTCTGTAACTTGACTTTCTTTTGTGTATTTAGTCTTCAAGTAGTCACTCTGGCCCTGGACCATTTGCTGGTGTTACCCTTTGAAATGCATAAGAGAAAAAATAGATTTGTTCTTTTCATTCTTCTAAAGCAAAGTGAAATAAATTAACATGTTTACCAATCTATGGGCAGCTGCTTTTGGGCCTGGGCCCTAGATTTAGGCAATAATGGCTGAATAGAGTGGGGGTAGGGTGTGTGTTCTGGGGGCTGGACAACTGAACTTATTGGATGAGGCTGGACTACCTGAAAAAGAAATAAGGGTGGGCAGTATATCAGTCAAGGCTTTCCCAAGGAAACAGAACAGGTAGGACTCCAACTTGTCTTCCTTCCTGCCTATCTATCTATCTATCTGTTATTTATTTATCTATGGCAAGGAATTGGTTTATGCTATGGTGGGGACTGGGTAGGCAAGCTTGTAATCTGTAGGGCAGGTCTCAGGAAGGCCAGGCTGGAGAGTCCTTGGCATGAGCTCATGCTGTAGTCATATGTAGAATTTCTTCTTTCTTAGAGAAACCTTAGTTTTTCTCTTAAGGCATTTGAACTTGTTAGGAGAGGTCCTCAGGTTTTTGAGGATAATTTTCTTTGCTTAAAGTCAGTTGATAACATATGTTAATCTCCTCTCTAAAATGCTTTCACAGCAATGCCTAGATTAGTGTTTGAATTAAGAGGGGACTGTAGTCTAGCCAAGTTGAAAATTAAAACTAGTTATCACAGGAACATACTCCAAACCCTGCCTAACAACCTGACTATATAGGAATTGGAAGCACATTAGAAGAAAAAATGTTGTCTAATTTTGAACACAAAAGTTTGCTAGTATTGACTCAGCATTTCTGAGTCATGGACACATTATCTTTGTGCTTTTGTTTAAAGGGGTTGTTTTAGATGATTTATGAGGCTTCTTTCAGTTATAAAATTGTTCCTATTATTATCATGCTCAAAGGCAACAGAGATGATTAACCAAAGACAACTGTCATTGTGAAGAGAATAACCTTGCAGAATTGACAGTTTCTCTATCTACTTCTTCTTCCCAAAAGATAGCAGAATGCATTTATTAAGGCAAAGAAGTAGAGTATTTGTTTAGTCACCTACTCAATACACACAATATTAGATGCAATAGATATAAGGTGGAGTATGATACTGTAATGGATAAACATGACTATAATCTAATGATTATGAGCAAATGATCATCTCAGCACATGCAAAGTGCTGTGAGAGATATGTATAGCACTGAGTGGCATCTGAACTAAGTCAGGGATTCAGGTGGCATTTCTTGGGTGGCATGTGTTTGGAGTGGCAAGACGGTAGCTGTAGAGAGGCATACCTGCTAGGAACAGAGAAACCTTGAGAAATCCTCTAGCCCAGCTGCTGAGGTGGACAGAACTATCATCACACAACTTCATGGGCTATTTAATACCTGGCAAAATGTCACAAGTTTCCAGGGAAAAATGTTGGCGTGTTTTGGGGCAATGGGAGAAGTCATACTTGATCAGAACCTTAAAAGAAGAAAAAATATTTCTAGGAGCACAGGATGGGGAGGGTGGTCGGGATAGGCACGATCAGAGGGACACTTTTGGGCAAAAGATAAAACACAGTGGGTTTAGGGGTGAGATGGAAGGTGGATCATCTGTTTGTTTCCAGGGTATGTTGTATCTCTAAACTGTAGAAATATCCTATATTAATAGATACTATGTTGAAATTCAGAATGTTTATGCATGACTGTCATTTTAAGATAATTGTGTTCTATAGAATTATTCTTAAGATATGGGTAATTTTACACTAGATTTATTAATTTGATTTCAAGCAAAATTGCACTAAAATACTTTTGTCCATTTTTTTTCCCCCATAGTTTTGGTTCTTCTATCTGCCAGAGTTTTCTGGTTGCATTAATGTTTCTTTGTAACACAATCATATTCACTTTCTTCAGCATACATAATGTTAAATTTCCAAGCTGTTATTAGAACCCAGCAGTTCTGATAATCCTTGTTTACTCTTGCTCTTTTAAATATTGATTGGAAGCAGAATTTTTTCATGCTGATATACCCATGCATTGTGAAAGCTGTCATTGAGAGTGTCAGTTGTTTATTTATGCAAACCTTAAATCATCCAAAGGCTTTTTGAATAAGAATTTTATCTGCTCAGGACATATTACCATGTTGTTTTCATTTGCAGTGTTATGACCCATCACCAATATTCTCAGACATCCAGATGAAGTAGATGGCAGATTGTACTTGTTTGTGATTCTTTGTGTGTGTATCTGTGTGTTGTGTTTTCAGTGGATGTTTCCTGTAAAGTGATAAAGGGCCCCAGAAAAATGCTAATATATGGCTTTCTCTGGATTTTGTGCTCAATGGCTCTCTATTCTATATATGAAAGTATGTGAATACCCTGTGCACAAGTAGTGCATCATATTTGGGTGAAGCACTACTTCTTTGCATTGTATTAAAAAATACTGCAGATTATGAGCACCTTATTACAACAGAAATATGTTGTAGTTTGAGTGTTCCCATCCAAGTTCATATGTTGAAACTTCATGATCAGTGTAACAGTGTCACCTTTGAGAGGTGATTAGGACATGAGGGACTTTCCCTTTTACATAGTATTAGGTGCCTTTATAAAAGAGCTCAATGGCGAGGGTTCATCCTTCTTTGTCCTTCTTCCTTCTGCCATGTGAGGACACAGCACTCTTCCCTGTTGGATATATCAACACTTAAGTTGTCATCTTGGATGCAGAGATGAGACCCTCACCAGACTGTGAACCTACTGGCACCTTGATATTGGATTTCTTAGCCTTCATAATGGCAAGAAATACTTCTGTTTTTTTTATAAGTTACCAAGTCTGTAGTATTTTGTTACAGTAGCACAAAAAGACTAAGGCAAAATGTATTTATCTAAATTTAGTATTAGCAAAAGTTTTAATGTAACTCCCTATTTTTACTTTAATATATTTCTCCCTCCCTTTCTTCCTTCCTTCCATTTTTGTTAGTTCAATGATTTTACCTCCATTCTCCTCCTGGTATGTCTATTTAATACTTGTCACCCTGAAGGCTATACTCTTGGTGTTGTAAGTTAGAAAGAAAAAATAAATACTACACATAATTAAGCACTTTTGAGTACTTATTATGTGGCCAGCACTCTTCCATGTATTTTATATGCATTAGCTTACTTAATCTGCACAGTAATTGAATGGGAAAAAATACATTTATTACCTTCATCTTACAGGTGTGGAAACTGAGTCTTAAAGAAATCCAATAATTTCACAGAGCTGCATAGGGATTAAGGAGAAGAAGACTTAATCCATATTCTTAATCCTATTCTCACTGTGTTATCTAACTAAACCTAGTAGGAAAAGTGACAGAGACACATATATGTAAGAAATAAGATAAAAATAGATGCAATGAGAGACTTTTGTACCAAGTGCTGCTGGAGCTCAGAAGAGGGAGGCAGCTGTGAGGATGTTGGCTCTCGTCATATGCCTTGGTGGAGGGGGAAGATTTTGAGAGAGACAGGTAAAGAGCACATTCCAGCTAGAGTTACCTTGTTTGGATGGGCCAGTGAGTACACTGGGAGCAGTCCTGGGAGGGCGAGTCAGAGCTGTGTTGTGTGAGGCTTTAACTATAAGCAGAGAAGTTGGTGGTTAACATAACATGACCAATGCAGTGATTTGAAAAATCATGGACATTCTGTAGAAAGGGTTAGCATGTGAGAGTTCAGAATTTGGGAGGGTGGTTAAAATTTAGTGAGAGAGACTAGAGGCTTGAGTTCAAGTGCTGGATTTGGGAATGAAAGCAAGGGAGAGAGAGAACAGAATAAGAAGCTGAATAGTGCATAGTTGGACTTGGTAACCTTTTGCAGGAACAGTGAGGTCTCTGGTTTCACAAGGCACTGTGACTGCAGGATAATGGTTATACCATACATTTACACAGGAACAGGCTTGGGGAGAGCAGCGGAGATGCCTTTGTGTTTTGACCTGTTCGTGGTCCACTACTTGATAGGAAGCAATGCGTAGAGAGCAAGGACTTTTAAGAGGCCATCAGTGCCCAGCCTGGATTGTTTGGACTTCCTTCTTTGCTTTCTCTCTGTTCTTTCATGTTTGGCCCCCTTACCATTTGGAAAGTTTTCCAATGCCTGAACCAACTGCTTACTACATATCTTCTCCTTCCAACTGTTCTATCAAACTCTTGAAGTTATACTCTTAGCTGTTGTATTAATGTGGGGCTGAACCTTTAGAAATATCAATACACATTTTGGCTGACCTTAGTAAAACAAAATGAAAACAAAAACAAAGCTAAACCAAAACAGGACAGAGCAAATAACCTATAGCCTTTAAAGAGAAGCGGGGAAGCCATGCTACAGAAACAATGCTGTCTACACTTACCTGCAGAGATTCTTCTCATATTTGCCAAAGGAAACCTGAGAGTGGTTCTTTGTAATGATTAGAGTAGGGTCTGTCGCCAGCAGATTAGTTGGGATAAAAATTAACTCTAGATAAAGGAAACATAAAGGGTTTGGTTTTCTGGACTGAATACATAGAAGTTAAAGAACTGTATGAAGAGAGGCCCCAGTGAATCAGTCAAAGTGAAAGCATTGAAACATTGTTCTGAATGTTATATTACAGATTGCAAGTTCAGGATGCTTAGGAAAAGCTTTATTGTATCATATTCCTCAAATCCCATTAGCTCTCAGATAATGGAATTGGTATAAGGAACAGTATTTTTCAAAATTCCTTCCCTCCATCTATAAGATTACAACTCCTTCCTGACAAGTATTTTATTGAAACTCATAGGGAACAGTTTTAAGATCTAGTTATTTCCTCTGTTAGTGATTAATGTTATTCATTTCAGACATCATCAAATATTTTGCCTTTATTTTTCTTCTTCCAGATGTGCTATAATTTAGACTAAGTCTGTGCCCTCTAGGTGTCTCTCTGGTGTTCTGCAAGTTTCCTGTTAGCATCTGTTTCTGTCTTTTACAGCCATCTCTCTATATTACTCATCTTATTTTGTGTGTGTTCTGCCAAAAGTATGTTTGTGGGTCACATGACCAATAGATCCACACTGCCAAATTCACTCCTGGCACCCTCTGCAGACTGAGGACTACTTAGGAATGTGAACTCTTGTCTTTAATCATATTATCTTTCACCCCTAATAATAACTCTGCTTCTAAACTCAGGGCGACTCATTGTCACTGGGGTGGTCTCTGTGACCTCCTTTCTTCTCTAGTTGAGTTAGGTGAGAACTCTCATAGACCTCTGTGTTTCAAAATCTCTACATGTGTTGTAATCCCTCTGTCCTTGAGCACAGAGGT